TTCTTTCTTCTTGAACAGTTTACTTCTAAAGAGAGGAACGCAAATGCGAGAGTAAGTTTTTTGCCACAAAACCTTTGACATCTTTTCACCCAAAATGAGGGTAAGTTGGTGGAATGCTCCTGAAGGGTACTTCATTCGAGTTTTATTGACACTTGCTAATTGGTTTCTTTGGTTCTTCCTTGAGAAATACTTTGAAAGGGAACTTATGGATAGCAGGCAAAGTGCTTGTAATGCATCACAGAATCCAAAGCAAAATTTGCAGTCCTTTAAACCATAAGCAATGCAAAACTGTGGTTGGTTTTAAAAGAAATTCCACAAGACTTTTTTCCGAATTTAAAGAAAACCGAAGTGGAAGAGCAATTACGCAGTTCCCAAGCCAAGATTAGATTTTTTAAAGTCAAAGAGGGATAAAAATGAGACAACAGGCAACTGTTTGCCAGTTATTGTGAGACTGATACTATATTCATGATTTCAAACCCTTATATATACAGAACAACAAGCATGAGCATATAGGCACTTCTCAACAAAAAAACAAGTCCTGAAAACCAGGAAATTTTTCAAGGATAAATTCGTACAATTGCGTAATTTGCGACGCGAATTTACGAAGCAAATATCTCAATCGATTTTAAAGATACAAAATTGCGCAACATTTTAAATTCAAGATCACAATGTTTCCAACACTTTTTATGATAACAAAAATGTTGATATGATGCATAGTATTCAAGATATTTTGATTTCCGCGAAATCACTTTTCCGCCGTAACTCTTCGCTGATAAAATCTGCACACATTTCTGCCTGATGAAAATCACTAAAAACCAGGCGCAGCAAATAAAAATAAAGTTCTCCCACTTGGGGCATTCAAAAAGAAGAATACAGTTTTTCAGCTACAAGGTTTCACTAAAAAGTTCAGGCTGCAAGTATTAACATGTGTATTCTCTAAAATTGAATTTCATTCATTNAGCTACAAGGTTTCACTAAAAAGTTCAGGCTGCAAGTATTAACATGTGTATTCTCTAAAATTGAATTTCATTCATTGTTGGCCAGATGACTAAGTTTCTATACATACTTGGAGGTGGATTTCATGTCGCATTTAATTCATGCAACACAAATTGATCTTCTTATTATTCTGTTAAAAAAAACTTGATATTGAAATAATCTTTTAATCCATAATAGTGAATATGTCTTCGAAAATTTTATTTTTCATTTATTCTGTTTATAAAATTAAGCACCAACTTTTCTCGTGTATATCAGGTTTTCCATGTTGGGATACTACGAAAAATTTTTTTTGACCGGAGTCTTTTCCACGTAATAATCGGTCATCTCTTCTCTTTTTTTCTCGTCCCTCAGACGTAGTTCACTATAATATTTATCGGCGGCCGGTGAATAAGTGATTATCTCGTCATTCGTGGCCGAAATTCCAAACAGAACATTCTCAAAGGATTTCTTCCCACAAAAAAATGAGTGCGAACGTGGACGAAGAAGTGCGCAGAGAGTACTACAGCTTGGTCGCAGCAGCGGCCTCGCGGTCAGGGGGCTTGGAGTTCCCACTCGCACACCTTTAGGTAGAGGGTGGTGTGGGACTTCTGGTCCTGCTTATGGTGGACTACTACCGGGAGTTGGCGGTCATGTCCGTGGACAAGCAGCCATTGTCCCGATGTCGCAGCGCAGGAGCATCTCCGGAACCCGTCCGACACGGGCAGGAGGACAACGGCGACCCGATCAGTAGCCACGAGAACCCAGCGCCGTTAGTGGCATCTAGTAAAGCAGACATCAAGCCCTGCAAGCGGCCATGGGGCAGCGCTCCGTTAGATGACGCTCGCGGCTTGCCCATGAAAAACAGGACTGCTGAACATCATCTGGCGGTGTGCCGAGAAAGTTCTGGGAGGGTGTCCGAAGAGGAAGATGACGACCAGAACAGCGACAGAAGAAGACACACCTTCGACGTGTCTCACGGGGCTGAAGCGAGGAGGCGATATTTGGCGAATAAGGAGAAGAAACTGAGAGAAATGGAACCACCTCCAACATCAGCAGCGCCACCGTTTGAGGTGAGTGAGCCATTGTTTTCGCTTGCCTTATGCTGTATCAGTATACAGCAGTATACAGTACAGTACTTGATCAAAGCGCGCGGTCAATTATTGAGATACTGTACTTCCGAAACGAAGGTTTCATCTCGTAATACATGTCTGATGCATGTCCATGATTATTCAGCCGATCATAATGAATAACGCGCGTATATTCACAGTTATTGTAGTTTCTACCTGAGTAGGTACGTATCCTACTCTTCTCGAGTTATGTCATGACTTATAAGTAGCCTTTTACATATCAACACCGCCTAGACAAAACGTTAGTTTTCTCAGTAGTGACGCTACGCCTGGGATAAAATTTGGCAAAGATTGTGAATGACATTTTTTTCTCCTCATAAAGTGCTGCGGAAAAATGAGTGCGATGTTATCGCGGTATCTATATTCTGAAGCATTTTTTCCGGGTCCCCAGTGATTTTTTTTTAATTTCACCGCATTATGACGCAATTTGGATCATCATAGCGCTTTCCATGTTTTTTTATAGAGACTAATCTAGGGAGAGTTTACTGCGAATTTAGACCCTAATATTAATATTTCTTCAAGATGGTCACAAATTATACGGGCTTCAAAATACAGTCCAAACTCTTCAACTCGAAATTTGATTGACCAGGAAAAAGTTTTGAGGAACATTCTGAGTAAGAGAAACTAGCATTTTTATACAGAGAAAAGAATTGAAATTGGTGATATTCTAAGCCACAAATTGCTTTTTAAAAATGAGTTGACAGGATGGTGAACTGACAAGCAAGGGTTCATTATTTCACAAAAGCTTCCACTTCCTTTAAAAAAGCATCAAGCTACATTTCTTTATTGTTTTTCTCTTTCCTGTGGCTCAGAAATTATACAAAAAAAATGTTTCCAGAAAATACAAGTTATAGAGGTTTGAGTGGGAGAGCCGTCAAGTTGATAATTTTTCAAATTCATTGTTTCCAAAGTAATTCAGACAGGGATTTTAAAAAATGACATAGAGAGGTATTTGAGTTAGGGAGGTTTGAAGTATCAAGGTTCAACTGTACTCATACTGCATAGAAGTAAAATACAGTCAACCCCAGCACAACAAACCTCATTCACAAGTCACAACAGATTTTTGCAGAATAACAGACCGCCCCTGGAGGCAATTTTTCCTCTTGCATGTAAGAGAATAATCTGCATAACCAAATTCAGTCTGTTAGAAATGCCTGCCACCAGTGGACTTGAGTCCCTGAGCACATCCCCCCCTGCTTCCCAACTAAATTTGCTTAACATACAGTACTTTTCACATAACAGACTAGTCTGTTGCACAAATCAAGTCCATTTTTCGGGGATATTGAGTGATTGACTGGACCATTTAAAAAAAAAAAAATCGATTTATATTAGCAAGCCACATCACATTCACTTCCCGCGTCGGAACAGGCAATCTCGCACGGCAGATGCTGATGCCACTCACTCGAGATAACCGGGGGTTTCTCTCATCACATAAGTCTGGCACCGGTCTAAATAACCCCCCGCGGAAATTGCCGACCCCTCCAGGCCATCCCCGGGCTCATTTTGCCGAGAGTGGACCGCAAATTCTCTGGCACGTGGTGGTCGGGAGGGTTTAAGGAGCAACCCCCGGGGTTCCCCTGGATGTTCGGGTCGGGATCAGAAAAGCATGGAGCCTTGTTGTTTGCTCCGGTCCACTTGAAAGGTCAACCGACTCGAGACCTGTTCCAAGCGGTTGCTGAGGAATACGAGTCCAGTGTTGACCAGGAGAAGTGGAGCCACAGGCAACAAAATCCTGTCGAAAAGAAATTACTTTTCATTTAAAACCCCCAGCTATCCCAAGCAATAATTAACTTCACAATTATTTTAGTTCTTGTATCCAAATGGATTTTAGAAAGAGTACATTAAAGTACTGTGTTTTTGGGGAACCAGGTAAACGAGATCGGACTTCTAGGTGTTCATTGAATTTATTGGGAAGGTTCATCGGAATTTGGGATGTGAATCAAGTCCTTCTTCGAGTGAGACATTTCAAATTGGAAAATGGCTGTGATGAGACTCACTTCGGGAAATTATTTTGCGCAATATTCTTGAGCTTTGCGGAATTGGTACTGAACCACTGCTATATAAGACCAATCCCGTTTGAGTTTAAAAAATTGCCAAAAGCTACTCCCGAAATTCTCTCGTGTTCAGTCTGCCAAGTTGACAAAGCATGCCAATGTTGCGTCTCCAGGTCGAATGCAATTTTAAAGCTTATGCACCTACCATGAAAAATTATCTTTGCATACAAATTTTATGCATGCGCTGACGCGTTTGGTTTTGCAAAGACTTTAATTCAATCCATGAAATGCTTCATGGTTTTCTTCTCAATAAAAATTTACAGTATCATGTTACCTCAGATATGATTTCAATCGGACGTGAGATTCCTCGGCGATGACTCAGTTTTATATTCTTCAACGTTTTCAGCGAATCCAAACTTATTCAATTCTTAAGCAACTTCTTTTCTGGATTTCAAATTTTGAATGTAAGAATATCAGCATAGTTTCAAAACTATTCCACCCACATTAAGTGTTTTTAACTTGTTCACGAGCTATATAAAGAATCTAACCCAGTCCTTGTTCAATTTTGTGCAAACGTAACCATGAAATCGAAAGCGAGTGTTATGGACGAAATAAAAAGAACTGCACATTGGAACTTTCGTCGTGACAGTTTGAAGCGGATATTATATGCAGCGCCATTGTTTTGAAAATCAGCTCACCCCTTCTCAATCGAATAATGATCGAACATTGAAGCCGTTTGTAAGAAACAATAAAAAGGCCTCAAATTTGGTGAATTTTGGAACACTGACGTAAACGTGGAGGAAAACTTTGAATTTTTGTAAATTTCATTTCGGTACGCACCAGTATGAATATCCAACAGATGCTGAACTCTCTGAAAATTCCCCTGACAACGTTGGAGGGACCATGAGGTTATCGGATATGTTTGTCCCGAATTGCGCTCCTCCGAGAACCAATGTGAAGAACACACCGGCAGCTGACAGTTCGAAAAGTCAAGATTTTTACGAATAAATAAGTTTCACTCTTCAAAAGAAAATAACCTGATATTGGGTACGAAAAATACAGCGCATAGCTTGACAGAAACGTCGTCGACGGATCAGTGATGGTATTGAGCAATGCCAAACCCAGACAAATGGTCGTGCCGAATGCAGCTATCGCCCAGAAAATCATGGTTGATATCCACAGCCCATAGTTGATGAAAGTACGATTTGTTCCTTCGGGATAAATTTTTTTTTTTTAATATATACCCGAACTGTTTAATGGGTGACTTGAAGAGAATAAGGGGCTCACTCTTTGCTTTGTTCTGAACGGAATCTTCCCGTTGCGCGGTTGCATTATAACGTTGTTCTGTCTCGTAAACACCGCCTTCCGAAGGATCTTTCAATCTGCAAGATCCTCTTAGCTCCACCACTTCTTGGTAAAGTAACGCATTCAGAAGCGTCTCTTGATCCTTGTTCGAATATTTGGAGCAGCCCATGAAGCAAACGTTTTCTTCCGAGCTGCAAAAAGCTATGGAAAATGCGGATTTTTCGAGTGGACAATATAAGCTTAATTTTTTCTCAACAAATACAGCGCATAGAAACTGAAAATTACGATTTTTTTAAACCCCCATATTTCCTTAAGAACTTCTCGAGTGCATCTCAATGCAGTAAACATTTATGATGCAACTCGCAGGAGCTGTTTTCTCAAAATTATCTTCGTAAGTATCTCGCACACATGTGAAGTGCAGATGAGTTATTCTTCACATTCTCCCATGTAATCAATTTATCATCAATTTCCTTTTTTAAAACAGTGTTTCACTCTTAGAACAAACCAGTGAAAATTTTTTATCTGCGTGGATTTGAAAATGACGGGTTGGTTTTGTAAATTTTTTCAAGGCCTGTGCATTCCTTGTATTTATTTCTTGAATGAGTATGGAAATTATTTTTAAATATCAGTATTTGATTATTTGGCTGAAGACTATCCCAAGATAACTCATCATAAAATGGATAGATTAAAGATTTGATAAGATTAGACAGAGAATTTCAAGGCAACTTGTGGAAATAATGTTCAGGAACTACGCTTGAACGCTTTAAAAATTCGAAGACGGTCGATATATGAGGTATACAAAATATTCAAATTAATGCAAAATCTTCTCATCGGGAATGTACGAAATCTGGAAACATTGTCATCAATAATGTGTCGGATCTTGGTAATTCTAAAGTAACGCAAGTTCAGCATGGGAAGCTTGATTTGAAATGAAAAATTATCAAGAAGTCTTCAAGTCAGTATAAGGCTGACAGTGTAAAAAAATCCTTTAAAAATACAGATGCTTGCTTAATTCAAGCCTCGTCGTAACTCATTTTACAACAATTATGAGGATTCTGTCTCTGCTGAACTCCATCACAATTATGCACTGAGCCATTCATCAAATATATACCATTTTTTTGTGTTTAAAATCAACGAATACTCACTTTCCAAATCGTGCACTTGACTGTAGCTGTTGATGATCACGTTCATCTGCCCCTTGAAGAGCCCGTAGTCTGCCTCGAGTTTAGACGTCATGGAGACATTGAGTTGGTTGTCACTAATCGCGGTTCCTGTCACCCACACGTCGGTAGCAGCTGATGACACTAATAAAGCCATGGCCAGCAGAGAAGTCATGAACGTGCTGAATATGATCAATTTCCGCTTGGTGCGCTGAGCGCGAATGGTTTTTGCTTGATCCATTTCCGGGGGCGACGCGGGATCCGAACGGAAACTGCGAACACCTCGGTTAAGAATACGACTTCCGCATCCGGATGCCTGCTTTGAAGAAAATACAGAGACAATGAGAGGATCAAATATGTTTTCAACTTGAAATTTCGCTAAATACTCTACAGCATTTAAATTTATCTGCACTCGTGTTTTTTTTTTTTGAGAAGATCCCGGAAAAACGGCAAATAACAAGTTCTAGAATGATTTTGTCTGTTCCCGCGGGACGCATTCACAATAATTTTCATGCATGGAAAATGATTGAACAAAAAGCCAGAGCAAATGATCATCTTACAAAACGTCGCCGTCGAAAGCCATGTACATTTTTCAATCTTTCCACACGAATTTTTCTAATGGACAATCGTAACTTCGTGGAGTGGCTCTGCATATGGCAGATAAGAAACGTTTGAGGAATTATTGAATTTTCCGCATCCATCATGCTCGATTTATTTACAGAAGAAAACTGCCTGAAAAATTATTTGAAAAATATTAACTAAATTTAATTCAGTATTACCATCCCGTCGAAGAGTAAAAATAAGCGTTCATCTCAATACTCTGAAGCATGAAATAAATTTTTGTTTGAATGAAAAAAGTCCCTAGCTGGTGAGTCATGCGCCTGTATTTAATTCTTAAAATTGAATATAATTTGTCAGTCTGAGCTTTTTTAGATGTACAATATTTGGCATGATGCGGTAAACGAATATCCTTCAAAGTGAATCAAAGCGAAAAATAAAGTGAGTCAAAATAAACTCAGGAGCATACTCACATAAGTCGGGTTGTTTCGTGCTATACCAACTTGAAATTTTGGAATTTTAAAATAAAACTAAAAATTGATGGCAGTATCGCTTTATTTTTCCATGCAATAAAAGAAAATAAAAATTCTCTCGAGAACATTAAAAATAATGAGGCGGCGCCTAAATAGTTGTTGCGTTCCCTCGTCAATTTACGCAATTTGAAGCCTCAATTTTCGAAGCCGAGCAGTTCTTCATAAACATTTACAGTATTTCAACTCAAATTCAAAAGCACATGAAGCACAAGAGAACGACTTGTCCGTAAGAAATATCCGTTGGGGCTTAATGTACTTCATCCATACTCATAGCATCTGCTCGTATTATGTCCCCCAAAAACATTTCTTGCTAAAATCAGGTGAGATTCATGCTATTTTCAAAGCATTTGACTAATTTGATCGTAGGCCGCATGATGTCAGTGACACCTAAAATGGCTGAAAATATCAACATGATGCTCAACACGGGGTCGCACTACACAGTTTCACCCGGAGTGGTTTTTACATTAATGGAACCTCAATTTCTATTCATGGTCTGGAATTTGAATTTAAAATATTCGACGGTTTCATCTGCAGCACTTGGACTGCATTTTCTAAAAATAAAATTTCTCGTTTCTCGCGGCCTATACTTTTTTTTCTCTCCAGAAATTTCTGTCCAAAAATCCAAAATTTCTGCACGCGGCCTCTGCAAATTAGGAGCGTGAAATTGAAACGCGTCTGAGAGAATCATCGCATCATTCCACAAGTCACACATACACTACGATCCGGAAACAAGTATTTTACATTCAAGTATCTCCTAATTCCCACGACGAAAAATAAAAATTTCTGCCGCATTATTTAAATAATTAAATAATTAGCAAGTGGTCGCGCATGAGACAATCTTGATTAAATTCATCCACACAAAGAAAGAGCATACGCAAGGTTTGCCCGAGCTCAGTGCTCAACAATTCCGTGTTGCTGCTGCTTCACAGCAGCTCACCGAAACTATTCGGCCCTGATAATATTCGTACCTCGTCATCACTGCTCCGCAGCCACCTCATTGCAGCAACTGCTATTCGCTGTGCCTACTTTAAGGCGACGCCCTACTAACGCGCAGATAGCGGGTTCTTGGCGCACGGACACAGCGTGGACTAGGTAATACACTACAAATCTGCCATAGACAACTCATCGACTTCAATTGCTTTTTTTTTTAACCAGCATATAATAGGGAAAAGATGTCCCTATTGCAAAGGGGAATTTTTTTTAGTGCTGGGCCATTTTTGTTCGAACAAAGGATAAAGGAACCTTTGCTGCTGAGCTGTGCGCAGAGAAGATGGAATATTTTTGCTTGAGACCAACGAGGATTACCCTTTTTAGACTTGAAAATTTTATTTTATGGGTGTGGAATACTGAAAAATGTTACCTCTTCAGATATTTTTATTCGGACAAAAAATTAGGATTTGTCCTCCATTCCGCGGTTGCAATTTTGACTCGGGCGGCGAGAAAAATTGCAAATACTTGTAAAAAGTTACATGAACTCTGGTGCATTTTCGCGTTGAATAATCGAGCACCTAGATTGGCATTGCAAAGGTTCTAAGTTAACTCTGACTCATTTATTGTACCCAAAAATGCATTCGGCGGTTTTCCCCCAATTTTTAGCTATCAAGTACATAGTGTAGGCCTTGCATCTTCTGAAGACCCTTCTTATTCTCGAGCTGTTAAAAGATGAAATAAAGATGAGTGGAGCAAAAAGAAATTCCCGCAGTAATTCCATAATTTTTATGAGTGTAAATTATTGAAATGCCTATTTGATATTTTCACAGTTCTGATTAAGACATTCGCTCTCTGTGTTTAACATGTTATTTTCGCGCTTGGAATTCCAAGCCCGGGTTCGGCTGGTTTTGTCGCGGAAACTCTATACGTGCCTTTGATGGTGTATCCCTCCTCAAGTTGGAATGAACCTGAAAGGAATCTGAGTCAACACTGATACTGACGCATACAAATGAAATGTGCTTTGAGATTTTACGTGAATCAAAATCACCTTCGAAATGCATTGCTGTAGAGTGCTATGAAGTTACATGAATTTATAAGAAATATCTCTCAGGCTGGCATCGTACTTTTTACTCAATTTAAAGCCAAAAGATGTACTGTACCATCTTTTACATAGGAAAAAATATAATTTTGAATGTTACAATCTAGCTCTTGAAATGACTGCAAGTATAGAGAGAGGAGTTTTATTTTTATATTGTAGAATGGTCCGTGGAATTTTATCTCGACTTTCATTAAAATTTATAAACTCTTAAATGAGGACTTGTTTGAATTATTTATGGCTATTATGAGATACTCCGATACAAATATGTGAAAAAATCTTTTTGAGCTGAGAAAGCTTTTTCTGCGCTTGATTCTTAAGGTTCCTTCTATATTTTTCCTGGAATTATTCCCGTTTATTCTCGAAGTTTCGATGGCGAACTAAGATTTAATTATTCTAAATCAGGCACCTGTCTGATCTTGACAGTGATCAAATTTTTATGGAAAATTTCAAGAAGCAACAAGGTGCGTTTAGAAATTTTTTCTCGAAATAAACATCAGAAGAGTAACTCGGAAGCTTCACTTCTTGACCCTCCGAAGATCCTTCATGTTTACATTTCGGTAAATGTAAACTGTTGCTTTATATTTTGGCACCACAAAGAGAAGGTTTGCCAAGTTTCAGTCGTGGCAAGAATTGAGAGAACTGTCCGGTATTTAATTCAATGCGAAATTTCTTTCTGATAGGCACGATGAAATGCGGCCTATTTTTTATCAAGTGCAATTGTCAGCTGATGCCCAGTTGGCCTTGGCAAGTATTTGACCCAGCACCCTGACGAGGATGAAAAATTAAGGCAGAAGAAAAAAAAATTGTGCTAGCCCATATATCGCGTGGGAGGAGGAGTGCGAGAAAACCCCGCGGGTTCGGGTGGGCCGGGAGTGGGTGGCTGGGTGTGTTGGTGGGTTGGTTTGATTTCGGAAGCCCCACAGTGAGCCTTATGTACCTCTCCCCTACTCTGCCCCCAGAAAAGGGACCTTTCTGAAATTTCCCCGTACGGAACCATGATTGTTCTCTTGTTATAGCATCTTCTCAGTTTCCTGAGATGCGAAAATTAAAAAATGTATTTGATATAGAAGATGAAACCACACTATTTTTCAAACAATTCATTTTCGAAACTCATGCAAAAAGGCTTTCACCGCTGGAGGACTTGAAATTGACATCATCCTTGTAAAAATGTTCAACAGAAAACTGCGGATAAAAATGACCGAAGAGAAGTGGCTGAAGATAGAATTACGTTGCCTGTTTTGAATATTGGCAAGTTTTGTCAGTTTGATGGTTATTTTTTCCTTCAATGACGCGTACCTTATTTTTAAATGTCCGACCCATAAGAGTGTTCTATAATTAATTAATGTTGACGTTCTTTTCAAATGAAGACTTTGTGGCTACGTCACGATATTCCATAGACTTCCTGAGCAGATCTGAGAATAATTACAGAAAAATTTGAGAACATCAATCAGCAATATTCATTTTTATTAGATGAATATACAGCATAGGTAATCAGTGAGTGCCGTTTGCCGTGACAAATACTGTAATTGCCGATGATATTTCAGGCAATTAGCCTTTCGAAAAATTGCTACGTTATCTAATCGCAGGTGTAATACTCGATTCATCCTGCATCTCTTCTAACCAAAGTTTCTTGGTTCGAGTCATTTTTGGAATTCCGGAAGGCAAGCAGAAAACGATTTGTGCTTAGTATAGTCAACGAAAGTTTCCGCGAAGTATATGTTAATTACAGCTTATATTTTGCAAACAGCTCCTCGCAGATATTTATTTGTTTATTTCAAGCAGCTCGCATGAGGAATGTTTTGGCTTGATTTTGTTCTACGTGCGTGTGTGGGATTTTTTCAAATAGATGACATATAGAAATCCTGAATGATTCGAATTAAGCATGTTGAAGTAAATTCAGCACATGAAGAAGGTTAAAACTCTGCAGAAAAATATAGTTCAGCTCAAGGTTCTCAATCTTTTCGTGGATAATGTGAGTTATGTGACATTTTGAAGATGCGCAATTGCTCATGTACAATCTCTTTGGGTGTATAAATATAGACCAATTATCATTCATGAGATGTGCCTGGTAAAATTACAGAAAATCTGCAAAATAATTTGAGATTTTCTTTAATTTTCCACAGTCAAAGTATATGCAAACATTTTTTTTTTTTTAGCAAATAATGAATTCAATCCTTTTCTCATCTGATATTGACTCCTCAGTCAAGTCATTGGAACACAGAGTCTGCTTCTAACACTTGAAAAACTGACTTTGTTTTCCTCTTGAGCATGATTTGCTCTACCAGAGAAGTTGCTTTGGCACCACCAGAGGTACACATGCCCCAATAGGTATACAGTAGTGTCATGTTACAACAAAGCTGCTATGGGGAATAGATTTTTTTAAAGATGTCAATGTCATTACTCAAACAAAAACAGTACTGTATTCTGCAATGACACTATACCTATTGCGGATATATCACGGGAACCTTGATAAATAATGAAATATGAATAAGAAATCGTTCCAACAAGAGTCTGAACGTACGTAAAAAATAAAAAAATAAAATAACCTGAACCAGCTGATCATACATCAGATGAATACAAAAATGCCGAGATTTTTGAGTAGTTATTTGAAAGAATTACCTTGAAGTAATACTGTGTAATAGAATTAAATATGCAGTTCACTAATATGCAGTTCAAACAAAATTTTGAAGCGAAGTCCCACACGAAGACATTCGCGGGTGACATAGGGCAGTATCTGGTGTTGACGTGCTCATCAGTGCTCTGCTCAAGTGTTGGGTCATTTCTTCAAAATGTTTTGTGCGAACTTTCGGAAGTGCCTTCGCAAGAGTCGGTAACCGAGAGACACAAGGAGACTCACTCCCACTCGCTTCCTGCGAATGACCGCACTTCCTGAGGTGGAGGTGCCGGGAGGACCAGGAGTTGGGGGAGGCAAAGCCGCCGAATGCTCCCGCAGGCGTTTTCGTATTCCCCAATGCACACCACTGGTAGCTGGACAAATCCTGGCTGCCCTCATTCTCAAACATATATATTAACCTTTTCTTCTTATGTCCAGCATTTCACACTGATGGAAACAAGCTTAAGAAAGATTCATAAATTGGAATTAAATGAAGATACCCTTTCTGAAATTTTGAAGGATCAAGATAAACTGTTGACCTTATATGATTTCTCATCAAAGATTCTCTCTAATTTGTTCATTCAACTAAACCTGATACAGAAACAGGCTGAAGACCTTGTGCTTTAAATTAATTTTTACATATCTTTTGTTTTCAATGTCAGGGAATGAATGGGTGTATGCATACATGTCAGATGTCCAGTTGTATTTTGTGGTTTGTATTTTCTCTTATTTTTGTTATCAATTTGTGCTCTGTTTCCTGCTCTGAAGTGATTAAATGTCATTGAGTAAATTTGGAAGGGTTTTTTTTTGTGGAAATCTTGATTGAACCTTGTGAACGCTGAAAAGTGGCAAATAAAGTGTTCTGTTCATTCATTCATTCATATATATTAACCACCACCCTCTCCCCGTAATCTTTGGTTGGATACTTTTTGTGCAACTGAAAAATACATGCAATTCATACACTTGAACCTCTTTGTGTTGAACTTGATGGGACACCAGAAAATTACTCGAATATTTTTTTTGGATTAAGAAATTGGCTTCAAGAGGATAGGTCAACAAATAGAAATAATGTTCCGGCTAACATTATTGAAGTTGTTGATCATTCAAAGATTTCCAACCTAGAGGAAGAATGCCTCATTTCTTGTAGAGAGCACAAAGAAAATAATTTGCGTCAATTTTTTGAACAGGTGATCTGAATAAGTTCAGCCCAACTTTAATAGCAAAAAAGTCTTACAAATTAGACTACGTCAGAACAAAAACAAAGTTTCGAGTCACGGTGGTTTGATTTACATTGAGCTTGAGGATATTGGTCAGATATTTCCTGCAAATTTAGATTAAAGAGGTTTCTGAATTGACAATGCCCATCCAAATACTTAGTTGTTACGTTCTGATCCATATTGTTGGGAAAAGAGGATGAGGGGATCAACAGCTGCAAAACAGAAAGTTTGAGAATGTCCTTGACTCCTGGTTTTTTTTTACATATCCTTTGGAAGGATAACAACTTTTATGACAGTGTTTTCGCGCCAGGCAGTTTAAGCTGTCAATGCTTGCAGAAACGTCAAACTTTATGAAAGAATTATTACCCTTCTTGGGAAAATGCTGTTTCCTTCTGGAGGAAAAGCCATTTTCCCTGTCATCTGAGAAATCAGCAGATCACGTTTCTCACGTTCTTTTGCATTGGAATGGAAAAACAAAAACTTGAAGGACCCAAGTCCTTGCCAAAATTAATACGCTCAAAGCATTGCCCATGAAAGGCCAAAACAAATGGCTAAATCTGTCAAACGCACCAACTCAAGAAAAGAAATTGGCTGTTTTCTTGAACAAAGAGCTTGACCTCGATGGCAAGCTTGGTCGCCGCCAAGGTCCGTCATTCATTAACCCTTGTGCGGCGAAGTTGGACTTTTTCCGCAAAATTTTGTGTCTGTCAGGACAGGTTTTTAAAAAAAGAGGAACAATTCACCCAGGGCAAAATCGGGCAAAATCCTGATGTATATTTTAAAATCCGCAGAAAAACTTTGCCCAAAAATAAAAAAAATGCATCACCAAGGCTGAGCTTCTTTTTAGCCTCTTGCAGGATTAGTTGTATTCTTCTGTGATTTGCAACCCTTTCATTCAGGGCGCCAGACAGAGGATCCTTATTCAGAGGCAGAAAAAGATTAATGGAAAAAGTCCGCCTTAGGGAACTATTAGCAGCACCGTTTTGCTGGACAAAGTCCAACTTTGCCCTAGGCAACCTGGCTTGGCTTTTGTGGTCTTCAGGAAAAATGAAATGCAAGACCACCCAAGAAAATCCTGACTTTGCCGTGCAATGGAAAGGAACCCTTTGCTGTCCAAGGGTTAAGACAAACAAGCCCATTGAGTGGGCCACACCAAATTCAGCAGAAGCCAACAATTCGATCCTGCTCTAATGGGAAAGTCTTCCCCCAAGGAAACTGAACCCTAGGTTCCCCCTTTTTTCTGGAAGCTTGAAACCTTAAAAGGACCAAGATCTCCAAGAAGAAATACATTCTGCATCTGACTCCGTCTTGACGCAAACCCGAGATATTCCAAGTCAAACTCGAATAAAACTCCAAATGTCAAAAGTTTGAAAGTTGTGAATCTGAAAGTTGTACTTGAAAATTGTATATATACGAATCTTCTTCTGGGTGTAACAACCCTGGCCGCAACCCGGCTGATTGTGTGTACTCTTTTATTCTCTGTAAAACTCAACTTTTCTATATATCTCCATTTCACCACACATATCACTAGGATGTGAATTTTATCTGAATGATTATGCACCTTGGTTAGAATACTGTCTTGTATATTCCAATGAGGAACATCTAACTACTCTTTTTTAGAGGGCCAAATAGCAACGTGTCTTGTAAAACATTTGAAGGATGCGTAAACGAGGACCATATTTCGTTTTTCCTGTCAATACCTCATAGAAGCTCAACAGAGCATTGAAGCTTTTAATAATGTGAATATCAAGTTTAATCCAAATGTATACAGAACTGTACTGCATTTTTGGCACGGTAGAATTAGATGGAATCACCGTCTGCATGAGGAGTACAGTACTTGCATACTGGGTGTGAAGTGATTGTTTATGCATTGAGTTAACCATTAGATTATGAAGTCAGGAAAAATTAGAGTAAATCGACAGTATTTTAAATTTTAAATTTTAAAAATCTGGTCAGAAAATAATCAATAATAATAATACATTTAGCATTAACTGGCTTACCTACGACAATTTACGCATATCTCTCATTCCTAATTCTGGTCCGTGATTAAAGACCAGAGAAAGAAAGCAGTGTATAAAAAGATATTGCTGTTGACTGTATACAGACGAAGTTGGTGTGATGACCACCTGAATTGAATCTGAGTTGTAACCACATGTCTGAAAATAATGGAGATCTCTCAAATGAGTTCCACCATATAGAAGGGCTTCCTTTACTAAATGGACTTCCACGCTCTGTTCGCTTCATCACAACAGAACGGAGGAGGAAGAAAACCTGGGATATGATGATGCCATGAGAGGAATGCTGGAGGAAAACCCAGAAAATCGGAGACTGGAGAAAACGCGAGGGTGAGGAGAAAACGGCCAAGGATTCCTGAGGGCCTCGGCGTGGCGGGCTTTTCGGCAGGGGTTGAAAAAAATTATATATTGTATTTATATATATATACAGTATGTATACATATATACTGTATATATCTATTCTGGAATGTATGTGTTAGAAAGGGAAACCCCTTCCACACATGGGACCCCCAGCACCAAAACTAGAGTAACGCTCTCGTCTGGATCACATTCACACCCTTGAGCGTCGAAAGGTGCGCTATAAATAAGAACGACGACGCTCGATTTATTTTTCTTCAGTCGTTCGTGTGCCATTTTTAGTGCAGAGTCGTGGTTCTTGTATGGAAATAGAGACCGACTATTTTTGCGTGTTTCGAATTTCGGATCATTTTTAACGCGTGATGGTTGTGATTCCCGCTATTATTACTCTTGCGGTTTCAAGCCAGCAATTCTTCAAATGGGATCTTTTCTTCCGTGATTGATCTAAATGATCATCATATGGATTAAATCGTGGGCAGAGCACATTTTCAGCTGCCATAGATTTTCCAGCTCTTTGGGTATATTCCGGATTGTGCTCATTCAGCAAAAACCATGAAACGAATTCACGGAAATTTACTACAGTATTTTCAAAATTACGCGAACGAAAGCTGAATGAGAAAACTTGGCTGTCTGACAATACGATCAACAGATGATACTTATATTATTGTATATATTTTAAGAAGTGTCACAAGGTCATTTATCTGCAGTAGTGGATATTTTTGCGTTATTCTTAAGATCAAGAAATCGGAGAACGTTTTATTTAAATAAACCGAGCGATCAAAACTCTTTCGGATGTTTCCAAAAACGTACATCAAGTTAATTCTGTTGGGTGTGTTCTTATTTTAAGAAAACATACTGCAAAATTAAATTACTTCGACGATATATGTCAGGCCTTTCATTTTTTTAAAAGATGATTCACGCTGACTGTCGCATCATCATTTTGTTTTTCAAGGTTCCTAATTATTGGAACGGAAGTATGAAGCATTTTATGCCAATGTAGACACACACAAGGAAAAATCCCCCTCGTAAAAATAATAAGACGAATATTTCGCGAAGAAGATCATTTTCAAATAATTGCCTCATTGCTTGCAAACGAAGGGCCATACTTGTATTTGTTCAGATAGTATACCGATATACAGTACAGTACAGTACATTGTGAATAAATCTGCAGCTGAGCATGAAAATTTCGGGAACCTATTTTGAGACATGGGAATCAAACCTTCCTTCTTTCAAATAATAAAAAATACTTTATAATGCGTGTAAAGTTTTACACTTTAAATTCAACTACTATATCTGGAGCATGTATTCTTACACGAAAACAGCATCAGGTATTCGTAAACGGAAATTGACAATTGATCGTGTCGTATGAGTCTTTTCCCTGCCTGATATGAAGGAGCAACAGTAAAGATTATTTATTTAATTACGATGGTAATATTAATTGCAAGAAATAAATATTGCAATTCTGTATACCAGTCAATCTCGTGTTTACGGAATCAAGAACATACTGCGTCCATTTCTGTCACATTCAATAAGTTTTGGATTTGGCACAAAGCCATACTACTCTACTGGGATTGACTATTTCGGGTCCCCTGCAGATCTCGAGCGTAAGATGTTGGATAATTATTATCATGTTCATAGACGTAAGAGCCTTTCATCTAAAAAAAAACTAATTTGAGCAACATTTTCCATATCAATACAGAAAAGTTCAAAGATTTTCAGCTGCTGACGTTTTTCTGTTGTACAAAACTCGTGATTTTCTTTCAGTGGATTAAACATCCAGATGAAGACTCATTTTATAGAAGAATGGTTA